AATACTCATTACCTCCTGCTGTAGTTCCCAATGCTGCGAGACGGTGTTGAGGCCCACCATCACCACACTAGGCGTCTGCTTCACCACACTCACCCAGAATGGCTTGAGACTCAACCAGACTATCGCGGGACTGGTAGGAGGCTATAGGATTCTCTTCGATGTCGCCCTTCAAGAGTACATGGGTGGGTGTTCTCTTTTCTTGTTACCCTTTATTATGACATATAACATTCCTGCCAGTGGAAATGTTCCCGAAAGGAGTTGCCAGGAAATTGAAATAAGTAAGGGAAGGCGATGAGAACTGGATAGAAAGAGATATACAGAAGTGCTTATTAGTCAAGATAAAGTCTAGAGTGCCTGATTTCACTGTACGTTTTGTTTCACCTCCAGTCTCTTATCATAATCAGATTCAGTTTCACACATAAATATAGCTTGTCTATCCCATACCCGATAGAATACCATTCCCAAAATAAAATAGTCTAACCTATTTATCACATCATCAGAAAACTGGGACGTGAAACATGCTGAGCAATGTGTCCCTTCCAAATAGTGACAATCTCTCACTAAAAATGATACCAAAAATGCATGATTACATAACATCAATAATAAAGAGACTGCACATTGCAGAATACGACTACAACGTGGTGTCAACGACGTCCTTGGCAGAGGCAGGGATCCATGTCTCGCTCTCCAACTTCGCCAGCTCGCCCGCTGTGGCCGCCAACATCCAGGCCGTCAGGATTGCGCCCAACACCGCCGCCTCCGTCGCTCTTGACGTCACTAATGTAAGGACGGGACGGGATGGTCTTCTGAGGATGAAAGAGGATTTAGGAGTGTGAAAGAAGGAGAGAAAATGCGTAAATATGTAAAGCACGCATCGCCGTGTCCAGGCTTGATTTTCAGTACTTTAGCGAATCGAACTCACAATGCTGTATCGCACATGCCATCACATTTACGCATCTCTCTCACGCGAACACACAACTGACACATATTTCTCAGATCGACCACACAGAGGTGTACCTGGACGACTGGCTATGGCCCAACCCCAGTCCTCGGTGTGTGAGCGAGGAAAAGTTCTGGGCCATGAGCGAAGAGGAGCGAGCTTACACGGGGAGTAACCAGTACTTCTCTTTGCTTTATCGAGACTGCCTTAACCATTTCTTCAACTGCTCGGCTATCCCGTTCATGTTCACCAATGATACAACTAGTGAGTGATGCCGTTTTCGTAAATTACAACTGATCATTTTTTTCGTTTTCAGTTTTTGAATGACTCTCTCTCTCTCTCTCTCTCTCTCTCTCTCTCTCTCTCTCTCTCTCTCTCTCTCTCCCTCTCTCTCTCTCTCTCTCTCTCTCTCCTCTCTCTCTCTCCCTTTCCATTTCCCTCTCTCTCTCCCTTCCTCCCTCCTTACTAACCTCCCTTACCCCCCCCCCTTCCTTCTTATGCGTCTCCTCTAAAATCAACACCAATGACTTTATAAGAGAGAAAGTATGCATTCCAATGAAAATATCAGGGGTATTTCACCTACAATCAATATATTGTTATATCCTCTTGAATAATTCTCGAACAACTTTTAACAACAGTCTCATAATTTCCAGGTGCGTGCACGCCCGAGATAACGCTCTACCAAAGTAAAATAAATGACAAGATGATGGAATGTGTTCAGAATCACTTGAGCCAAATGGAAGAAGGTAGGGTGCATGTGAAAAGAAAGTGGAGGAGATGAAGAAAAGGAGAAAGCGAGAAAAGAATGATTTAAACCGTAATAATAAGGGAAAGGCGAAGAGTATGATGATGATGATGATGATGATAACAAAACAACTACAATAGTAATAATGAAAACAATAATAATAACAAAAACAAGAACGAGAAAGGAGAAACACATACAATCCTGTCACCGAACTAACGCTGTAAAAATATCATAATCATCGGGAATAACGTAACGGATTTATCTTTTTTTTTTTACAGATTTTGGAAAATTATGCTTCACTACGACAATCAACCAGCAACTGAGCTACACTACTCTCATGGAGAACGGAGTACAAAGCATCATTGACAACCGACTGCTTCCTCCTAAGTAATTTTCTCTCTCTGAGTCTTGCATTGCTACTCTCATTCTCTCCGTAGATAACACATATAAAACTCATCTCTTTTTTATTTAAAGCAATATGTCTTTTATTAACCGAAGTTACAGTTCTACAGGTGTGTTCCATATTTATTGTGTTGTGTTCTGTATTCTAATAATGTTGTTTCCCTACTTTCCATATAATGATAAAAAAAATGTATGATTAAACATTCTATTCATAATCTCACAGCATAACCCTCTCCATGGTGAACATCTACTACACCGAACTGGGCTTCACGGAGTACTACGAACGTATCCCAACTTTCATCACATGGTTCAGTATGTATCGATCAAACACAACCTCTTAATTGTTAAACATAACCGTGCCTTTATTACTTATTTATAAAATTTCTTAAAGTTGATATAGGTATAACGCTCTCATGAGACACTGAACTATCACAATGATATTTCTGCCTTTCATACGTAATCCAGTCTTCACATAACTTAACTACTCCACCTCACATGATTATAAGCAATGTACCTTTCTGCTTCCCTTCCAGGTGACCTTGGCGGGCAGATGGGGCTCTTCATGGGTGCCTCTTTCATCACTCTGGTCGAACTTATATTCACCGTGTGTTACGTCCTGCGTGTCCTAATGACTCGAGGCGTGAAGGCTCTCATGAATAAACTGTGTGGCAACAAAACGTAACATGCTAGATGATTGTGATATATTACTTTTAGTCACAGCTGTTTAGTTTCTATTATACAGTGTCTCTAGTGGTCACTACCTGTAAGAAAGTATATACTATACATTATGTTATTTTTTAAATATTTTCATTTATCTAGTTAATTCGTTCAAATGGGATATTAATAGAAACAATACATTATAAACCGCATACATTCTTATCAGACTTAACCTTACAAATTAACCTTCTTCAGTATCATTTAAATAATTTTATCTAGATGTATCGTAGGAAATATAAGTCCCGACGAATAAATATTCACTCAGAATATACCAAAGTTTTTTTTTTCTACCCTTGCTGTAAATGTATTTTGTGCTATCAGACAAGGGTAAGGCCGCTGTGACAAGCCTACAAGCTAGTGAATTATGTTTATGGCTAAGAACAGACATTAATTCATATTCTAGAGGTGTATACAGTAATTTAGCTCCTATTGTTCCATTGAATTGTTGAACTGAATGTATGTATTGTTTTAATGTGTGGATTTCTCTTTACTTTGTTATATGCAAGTGTCCACATATGTATGTCCTAATACACTCTTTAAAGCCAAGCAAGGTAAATGACCTACAATATGTGTTTGATTTGCGGGTGACCAATTAATAAAAGTTTGAGTCAAGAAAATAGACACGTCTTAGAAAACTTATGAAAACTGCATGGTTCGCAATTGTTCTCTCAAGTTACTGAGTAATCTCAATATATAGCAAATTACCAACTATAACTTGAAATATATTACACATTGCCTATACATAATGAAAATGGCAAGGTGAATGGAAATTATAATCTTCCCTTACATGCTAATATACTAATAATCACCTCAACATAGAGCAATTACCAAATAAAATAATGAAATTACAAATCTATCGGACATTAGACGCGATGTAGCAAACCATAGAAAACTGAATACCCGCAAAGGGAAACTAAAATAAACCTGTTTATGCTTGCCTGTAGCAGACGATATGTAGGTCATAAAACTTGCATGGACTGCGCACGCGTTTGTTTTGAATTTGCTGCCAGCAGTCACCAAAACTGTTGATATTAAAACGCCGCCTATATCACAGGTATGAATAATGTGCATCCTTAAATATGTGACCCAAGTACTAGTTAAAGTAGTAAGCGATATGTGCGTCTTGAAACCCGTAGACTTTTGCATGGCGGTAGTGTTCCCATGTATGAAACTTGGAAATCTCAAACTACGATTTTCTACACAAAGTTACTGCATAAGACGCTTGAATTCTCTTCCCGTTGTTGATTCAGTTCATAAATTGGCCACGTCCATTTTTCAATTCACAAATAATAGGGTTAGGATGGAACAAAATAGATTGGTTTATGAATTGCAGACATCATACCTGTGGCCAAGGATTACTCTAATAAATTATTGCTACAGTGAAAAAAAATACATTTTCACAAGTATGCAAACAACCTAAAGAAATTGCCATATATGTATATATATATATATATTTATATATATATATATATATATATATATTTATATATATATATATATTTATATATATATATATATATATATATATATATATATATATATATATATATATACACATATATATATTCACACACACATACATATGTGTGTGTGTGTGTGTGTGTGTGTGTGTGTGTGTGTGTGTGTGTGTGTGTGTGTGTGTGTGTGTGTGTGTGTGTGTGTGTGTGTGTGTGTATGTGTGTGTGTGTGTGTGTGCGCACATTTTGTGTATTAATAATCTTTACACACAGTTGTTCCACATGAGCTTAATGACCCAGTAGCCAATTACTCATTAAACTATCTTCCCTGTTTACCCTTTTCCTTTAATAACATAATAATCATAATGTCAATAAGCACAAAATTGATATTAAGGACATTAGAAAAAACAAATAATGCAAGGAAAAGGGAAACAAGGTGAGGTCATAGGAATATTAATTAACTCCTTAGTGGCTGAGCAAATGAAATTCACAAAAGAGATCTAATTATATGCAGCAGTAGTGGGTTAAAAGAAAATTAAGACCATTAAAATACTTTTTTCTTCCTGCATGTCATATTACAGAAAATATTAAATTAGATTTGATGATGAAATGCAGGATTTATATAAATATCAATTAAAGTGCACAAAAGTAAGGGTTATTCTCAAGCAAAAATGATGCAGTGGATTTGAAACTGGCCAGGTAATGACAAAACTGAGATTTAACAAATACTTTCCATAGTATAAGATACCTGAATCATATTTTTGTACTTAAAACTTTATTGCATTATTGTTACAGTAACCTATGAGTAATACCTTATTTTTTGTAGTGAAAGATACTTGAATCATATTTTTGTACATAAAACTTATTATTATTGTTACAGTAACCTACCAGTAACACCTTAATGAAATTCTGTGATAATGAATGATGGATATAATTTTGTATAAGATTTATGAAAAGATTAAGTATAGGTTAAGAAAGCAATAAAATTATTCCATAATATTTATTTCCTATATTATACTCCAAATTTTTTTTATGTATGTTCTTATCTAAGGTTATGATTTTTTTCCTATATTTTTGAGTGTTATAAAAATCTTGAATAAAGTTTTTATTTCTTTACATTTTTTTATTTAACCATAAAATATTTCTTTCATATATAACTAAAGTATTTTCCACATTTCTCAGTCTAGTCATTACATTACACAACTAAAACTAATCATTACATTACACAACTAAAACTATAGTCTATTTCTTTTATAACATTCTATAGGATGTTTTGTCTGTTGATTAATGAAATATATATTATACCCACATCTACACATGCACACACACACACACGCACATGCACATGCACACACACACTCTCACACACACACACACACACACACACACACACACACACACACACACACACACACACACACACACACACACACACACACACACACACACACACACTCACACTCACACACTAAATTTCTTTAAAGGAAATCATGATCACAGAGTATATAATGCATGCATGATGAAAGCATGTAATTTCAGTATTGCATGTCATGTAAGAATTCTGATATGCATGTAGAGTAACCGATAATTCTGATTTGCGCTGTGTGTTTAATACTTCTGAATTTGTAGCTTGATGCTATGTCCACTCGGCAAAAAATGAAAAATGGTTAATGTCAATACCATTTGACTATTTTCTTTCTTTTTAGACTATATTTGTTTACTTCTACATTTATTCAATGCTTGGGAAGGGCACAGAAAGAGCCTGTAAAAAAAATAATTAACTGCATATGGCAAGTGACTTGTAGCCTTGACCAACAGGTTCTACGGGTCACCACCTCTGCCTGTGTGCTTGAAATAGCCACCAGAGAACTCCAGAACTCTAGACTGGTAGTGAAACTGGTACTTAGTTCACTGACCCATGGAGCACACAGGAGAAGGAGCAGATAAAATGTTATAAACAAATTGTTCAAAAAAATTAGAAATGTTTGTTAGGGGCTTAGCCATTTAAGGCAGAAAACACTATTAGTAGATTTCTTTGGTATATCTGCTGATTTTAAAACTTTTCTGCATATTGTAGGTAAGGGACCCTGAGACATTTCAAGCATAGTATACATACAAATATATATATATACATAGATATACATATATATATATATATATATATATATATATATATATATATATATATATATATATATATATATGTATGTATATATATATATATATATATATATATATATATATATACATATATATATATATATATATATATATATATATATATATATATATATATATATATGAATATATATATAAATATATATATATATATATATATATATATATATATATATATATATATATATATATATATTTATATATATATATATATATATATATATATATATATATATATATATATATATATATATATATATATATATATAAAAACATGCACACACGTATATATGTATATATATGCACACAAATATATATTATATGTATATATATATATATATATATATATATATATATATATATATATATATATATATATATTTACTCACACACGCACGCACATGCACATGCACGCACGCACGCACGCACGCACGCACGCACGCACGCACACACACACAACGTGCTGTTTTTTTACTGGATAAATATATAATGATCTCCTTAGCTTTACTCAACCATTACGGACATTTGCCTTGGAATTTAACCTTCATCCAAGGCCATGAGGCAAACAGAACTTCTTCTGTAGAATTCAAGAGAATGGACAAAATTATGTAAATGCTCCTCTGTTCTTATGTGGAAAGAGGACATAACATCACTCACTTTGAGGGAATAAATGTGTTTTCTGTAAACATTGCATGCACCTTCCTTATCAACATGTGTTTTTGCATTACCTAAATAGGTGTAAGGTATCCTAATGGAAATAGCCTAGATATAACTACTACAGAATCTAGACATGTAGCATCCTTGTGTTAGCAATTTAACCCCAGTAATGAATTAAAATTTTGAAATAGACATACAGTTGCATAAATAATGGTAAATAATAAAAAAGGTAAGAAGACCTTTTGATATGAAAAAAACAGGTTAATCCCTTAAGAACATAATATTCACATAAAAAAAGGTTTATCCCTTGAAAATCTATTATTCACATACAATTTATGAACATGGGTTGTCAGTAAATCAATTACTTATAATAATTTATATTGTGAGTGCGTCCCTATTTTGCCGTCAAAGATTGCAGGTTCTTCCCTTATTTGACATCTATGCTGACAAAATGATGACAGAATGGGTGTCCCAATGTAAGTAGCAGGAAACAACTTAACTATTGTGAATGAAAATGTTAGACAGATGATAGCTTATGAATAACTGAATGTGGAAAAGTTTTTATGCAGCTTACTCAAATGTTTGAAAAAAAGTATGTTCTTTTCTTTGAATCATTCTGCCAAGAACATTAGTGTAAAAGAATATTAACGTCATAAATATTCTCTACTAGTAATGTTATCAAGTAGTTTATAACTGAAAGACGTCTGAATTTCAATATTCAAAGTTTGCAACTAACACAAAAAGGAATTTATATTTGACATACAGATTGGCAAGACCTCAACTTAACAGTTATGAAGAAACATGTAATTTCTGTCATTGCTATTTGCTGTTTTTTATATCTAATAAATTCAAGTCTGTATCACAGATGAACAGTCTAAGTAACTGTAGCATCATTCTAGAAATAAAATATTTGGATGTGTGGTAAATATTGAATGATTTTTTTTTTT